AGGTTTTCTTTGGAGCTTGAACAGAGTGGAAAAGAATTGAACTTAGCCCCTTAAGTCTTTATAGATGTCCAGTAGGAGGAACAGAGTGTGTCCCTAGGAGAACTGAAGGGCCAGAATCCTGGATAGTACTGAGCACTTCTTGAATTGTGCTCATCATCTTGCAGAGTCAGACCCACTGGCTCTAAGCTTGGGTCTGAGGCTGCCTCTTGTTTTTAGGCAATTTACTGTGAGCCCCCTGTTTTGTTCTGTGGTCTTGGCCTGCTCTGCTTTCTAGTAATAGAGCCAGAGCTCTCTGAAGGGACCCAGGTGTCTGGTAAGCTGCTTGTTGATGCCTGTCAGCTTTCTCAAAACACCTGAACCAACATATGCCTGTGTGCTTATTATAGCTGCAGTGAGAAACCTCACAGCTTGGGAGGGATGGAAGGAACAGCATCTCTTTTTATTTTCTTCTTAAGGTGTTAATCCTTTTGGGAGATGAGAGAGGTGCCTGAGGCACTTGCCTGGTATCTGTATTCTCTCTGACTTAACGTCCTACCCTGCCAGGTTTGAATTTACACGTGCCATATTACCTCTGCTCCCCAGCACACCCAAACCCACCCAGCAGGGTTCACTGCCCAGGCTGCCCCTGAAAATAACTGTCACATCTTGTCATCCCCTTCCCAACATGAGTGACCAGACAGGCTTATTACAACCAGTCCAAAAAGGGAGAGTACATTTCTGTCACTTCCTGCCCACATCCTGTTTACTTTTACTGTTGTCTCTTCAGAAGGCATTTTCTACTGTCTCAGTAGTGTGATCCTGATACTTCTTCTGCTTATCTGTATTTGGCCATTCCCAGTATTGCAGCCAGGAATGTCTTGGACTTTTTTTCTTGGGTCTTATGAAACTACAGCAGTCACTGTCTCTCTCTCTTGGCCTCCTGAATCCTCTTATAAGGCATGTTGCAGGCATTCTTTTTCAAAGTAGAATTGTGATACAGACTTGATAAAGGAATTTTGCCTCCAAATGCATTTAAAATAGTGTTAGCTCTTAGGACAGTGCATTTTCCAGGCTATCAACCAAACAGGTGCTTGGGATAGATGCCCCCTCTTTCCAAAGTGCACGCCCCCTCTTTCCAAAGTTTAAGTTGTTTGAGAAAAGCATTTTAGGCAGGCACTGGGAGAGATTAAATCTGAGATCCATCTAATTTGGTTTCTTCCTGTCTAATGGGGCCATTACCAGGTGCTTTGAAGAAGAGACAGGAAACTCACAATGGGCAGTTTATAGGCGTTTCATTTGCTGCTGTCCAGTTTAATTTAATAAGTCCTTGTTTGGAGAGAATTAATAGGACTGTTACATTCCCTTCTTTGTATCTTTCAGTCCTTATTTTTTTCTACCATGTCCACTTCACCTTGCCTTAGCTTAACTGTTTAATTTCATCATAACCCTTATCTTTAAAAAAAATCATTCTCAGGAGAAATGTAAAAATCTAGAACTCTTGGTTCAGAGATGATACCTTTTATAAGACCAACTAAGAAATCACAAAATAGTTATCTTTTTCTGCACACTTTTGGGCTCACATGCCCTTCATCAGGCTCAGGGAAAATTAAAGATGGTAAAATGTTCCCATAGGTAGGAAATAATCTTCATTTTTGCACAGAGGAAGCTGAAGATGGAAATCTGTCCCTCTGGGTCCATGAGTGTCTTTGGAGTTGCTCTTTGTTGTGCAGATCAGGTAGGATTCCTTTCCTGGTGGTGTCAGATGGCAAGCAGGGAGGCATAGAAATCTTTCTTGTTGTTCAGCAATGAAGGTTATAATCCAAGATCTCAGGAGGAAGCACTTTTCCAAAAAGGAGTGGCCCAGAATACAAATCCCTTCTTTAATAAAATACTGGTAAATTCTAAAGAAATGTGCAAGTTAACAGTGGTGAGAGCTTGTGCTCATATAAGTGCTCTTAAATAGGTTTGTTAAATACAGACACAAAATCTTGAATACTTTGAATTTCCTGAACAAGCTACAGAAGTAGTTTTCAGTAATTCCAGTAAAATTTAACATTGAACATTTTAGGGAGTTAGCCTGGTTCACTGGATATAGAGCTAGATGAGCATGCAGCCTGGCTTCTTTTCCAGTGTAGCCATTGACGGCCTCCCACTCTCTGCCCAGTGCCTAAAACCTTATGTTCTGGCTGAGAAACCACCTTTGTAATACAGGGAACTTTTTTTCAAATGTATAGGCTCATTTTCTCTATTCTGACTTGTACCTAGTAGCTATTTCACTAAATGTTAGTGTCTGCTCTCCAGGGCCATCCACAGGGGGGCGTGAATCAGGGTGACCATGCCGGGCCCCGTGTTTTGGGGGCCCCACAGAGCCAGGTGGAACGGCTGTGGTTCTGCCACCGGCTTCATGTCCAGCTGCTTGGCACCCCCCACCGCCAAATCCAGCGCGTCCAGCTGCTTGGCACCGCCCCCCCCACCGCCAAATCTGCTGCCAGCTTCATTTCATCCGAGGGCTGGTTTGCCCCAGGCCCCGCACCCTGCTCTGGTCATCTCTGCTGCTCACCTTACAAGACAGAATTATTGAGACTACTGCTTGAGTCATTGAGTTTTGTTGATGATTTTTTCTTTTTTATTAAATAAACTCACATATTTTCTTCCTTTTTCTCTTCTTCAGAATTGAGTTTCTGCGACATTTGAGAAGTTTCTTCCAGATTATGTTTAAGATTGAAACCAAATCATCTGATGAAGAGCGCAAAGGTGGAGAGAAAGTCTTAATGACATGTGTTGGCATTGGATTTTCCAACCTTAACAAGACAATAAAGTGATAAACATCTGCTGAAATACTGAAATGTGAAGTCAAAAGTGATGCAAAAAAGATTTGGTTTAACTTTGTAGATATAAAATGTTTGTGCCTATACCATTTTCCTTTTCCCCCCAGACTTAAGGGTTGCTGTTACTGACTTGAAAAATATTTAGTTTTCACTTCTACCGTTTTTGTGAAAAAGTTAATGAGGGAAAAGCAAGAAAACTGACCACAAGAGAAATATGATGCAAAATGATGTACCAAAATGGAGGTGGAGTTGTAAGGCCACTTTAAAGTAGCACCTAAACTGAGGCAAGGTACAAGCTAGGGCAAGTCACTGGCTTATAGATTTCACATACAGAGAGTTTGTCAAGTGCCTTGATCCTGCAAACACTCATGTAGTCCCATGATCTTCAACAGGACTTTGCTCAAACAAATGAAAGCTACACATACATAAGTGTTTGTAAGACTGCAGCCTGAGTCTTGTATGGAGACTCTGGCTCTTGAATAAGAGCCTTCAGGTGCATGCAGAAGCTCCTCCAGATTCACTAGCTTTGGATGAAATCCTAAATGTTCAAATTCAGTGCACTGCAGGTCTGGGGAATAAGGAAAAAATAAATGCCACGTAACTTCTGAAGTATAGTGAAAGATGCATCTGCGTGTGCTGGGCTCAATTAGTCCTCTTCCACCAGGTTGGAAGGAGAAATCTTTTGACAGAGTATTTTATCTGTAAACTGTGTTATTTCAGATGTTTTATTTCACTGGCAGAGCAACTGTCCCAATTTGTTCATTGTACATTATTGCCATATGCTCCGGAATGGAGTTGCCGTGACCATTTGGGAAAGAAAACAACCTGGCTTCATAACTGCAGGATAAAGCTGCGTGTGGTCTTGTGTAACTGCTCTTTCCATGGGGGAAAGGGAGTTTGCCTGGAATTTCTTTCCTAAAATCTGATGGGGGCATCTCAGGGCATTTATACACATACATTTGCCTGCTTTGCAATGGATTTAATTAATTGAGTCTGCAGATCATGCAAGCTGATGTGCCCGGCGCTGCATCACATGCATTTGTATAAACAGCAAAATGCACATCAGCACTGAGAAAATGGCAGCAGTGCGCTTTTGAACTAAAATACTTTGATGTGTTTTAGTTCAAAAGTGCTGCCACCATTTTCTGAGCACTGACACGCATTTCGCTGTTTATACAAATGTGTGCACCTCAGTGCCAGGCTTAAGCATGTGTACAAATGCCTTCAGATTCCCAAATGATGAAAGGCCCTAATGGGAACACGGCAGAGGTACCAAGTAAATGCCGTGAAACCTGTTGGAGTTAAGTAAAGAACTCTCAGGGAAAAGAGAAGTCTTTACACTTGCCTACAAGTTGAAGTAGCCTATATTCATATTTAGAATCACATCAGAGGGTCAGTCATGTGAGCTGCCCTTCTAATCTATGCTTCCCCATGACAGCTGCACTTGAGAAGCTCAGAAAAACAGACAAGTAGTGGGCAGATCAGTCCCTAGAAGGAATCTGCTTAGTGAAGGTGCCTGTTCCTCAAGCTCTTTTAGGAATCATTTGGCCCAGTAGGGCACAGAAGGGCTAGAAGTCATGCATAGAGTATTGTGGGATTGCTGTTGCTGGGCTTCTTGTGCTAGGTCATGCAGCATTCAGGTAAGTACTGAAGGAGAGAAGGGCAGGATAGACAGAAGCTTAATCCCAGGGCTCTGCTTAGAATAGCTTCTGGGGCCAGGATTGCTGCCAGAGGATGGGCTGAAGGGTTTTAATGTGGATAGTTGGCAGGTTTAGGCTACAGGACAGCCCTGCAGGTAGTGTTGTAGGCAAATCCACTGAGCATGGCTGGTGTAAAATTAAACCACGTGAAAAACTGGAGCAAGTACAACTGACTGTGTTATAATGGTCTTTTATTTAACCTTTAAACATGCAAAATACTTTGATCAATATAGTTTTTACGCCACTAGAAGATACAGTGATATTATAACATCTTTATCAATTTTCGTTGTAAGATGTGTATCCCTCTCTCTGATAGAGATGTGTTGTTCCCATGCAGGAATTTGAAAAAGGTTGGATATTTGATTGGGTTTTTTTTTAGAGGCTGTAGTCTAATTTTTGTACTGGTTTTGTACCTATCTGCCTACATAAGTTTCTGCCTCCAGGAATAAAATAAAATCTATTTTTCATACATTAAGCTTTCTTCCTTTTCATTAGATTTTCCCCCAGGCCAGTAATCTGATATTTCAAAAGATAAATAGAACCTTTGGACTGGCATGCCTGGGGCTCTTGCCGCCTTCAAGAACTTCTGGGAGGAGCAAAATGGATCCAACTTGTTTTACAACATGCTGTGGGGAAGCCGTTCTTAAAAATGGAAGTGCTGAAGCATTTTGTGACATCTTGAAGGAAACTGTGAGATCTAGTGTATGCCCCAATACAGCCTTATTGATTTGCTGTAGCTGAAAAACATGTCGTTTCTTCACTGATATTTTGGGAACACGCCAAAAATGCTGCAGCTTTTGTCATATAATATAGAATATGTTACTCAACCCCATTGTGGCCAGGCTGTGTAAATCAGTGTTTGGAACTGTGCCCCTACTGCTGAACACCTGACTAGGGCACTCAGTTTCTAGATAGTCTGTGGAAGTCTTTGGGCAAGTGTATATTCCAGTTGCTGCTGTGACTTGCATAGGTTAGACATACCTGAACTAGCTTCAAAATAGGTAGCAGTTTAGCTACGTGGAGCTCAGCATAGCCTGCAAGACTGACCTAAGGAGCAAGGTAAATGTCTGGGCAGCTAGCCCACCCTAAGATCAGTGCTGTTGTTGCTATACTGCTAGGAGTACCCATACCATAGAGTTTGAAGCTGGCTCACATATGTCTATGCTAAGCTGTAGTCGCAACAATAGTTGCAAATAGGACAAGCCCATGATTCTCAACCAGGGTTCCTTGTGATTCTTTTAAGGGTGCTGCTCCTTTCTTGGTTTTTTGCAGTGAGGCTCCTCCATGCTGCTGAATTGCCCAGGGGCCCCAGTGGCAGCCCCACCCCTCTGCTGGTTGGTTGAGAGGACTGCCCTTCAGGGTGGCCTCACCCCTCACTGCTGATTAGCCGAGAGGACTGGCATTAACACAGTTCTACCCCTTGCTGCTGATTGGCGGAGAGGGGCTGGGCCATATGATGGGCAGCCATATGATGGGCAGCCATCTTAGCCAATCAACAGTAGAGGGAGCAGTGGGTACTGCCATCTTGGATCCCTCTCTGTGTAGGTTCCTACTGGTAGGTATGCAGACACCTATACATAATTCACAAGAAAAAAACAGATTCCAAATAGGAATCCATAGTGTCAAAACCATTTTGACCCATTGTGGGGGTTTTTTGAGTGCTTTGCAATGAAGTAATTTGCTTTTTTTACTTTTCCATAATCAGAAAGGTAAGAGCTAGCATTTCCCGAGGCAGGCCGTATACTTAAAATGTTGAACACTGTGGCCAGAGGCTGCGTACAAAACATAAGACTCCTACATTGCAACATGTGAACTTCCTATTGTATTTTGTTCCTCCCCCATTTGTAGTATGGCCTCTTTGATGATAATTGTTTCCAGTAGTTGTCTGGGGACTAACGTTATCAGATCGACTCTTAGTGCCTTGATCTTTAATCACAACCAGATGTTTCAGATAAAGCTGTTTAGAAGACTGTGTTCCTTCAGGTAAAATAATCCATTTTGTTGTAAAGTCTGATTGAGGTGACTTCAGTTACCTTGAGAGGTCTTTAATGTAGTTTCAGCAGTAAGGCTAGCTACTGGTAGAACCTTGGCTGAGTTTCTAATGTACAATTTTGCAAATCCTTTCCACATGCAGGGTTATGCATGTGGAGAGTGAAAAGCTGTGATGCCCTTAACCTCATGAATTACCCTGCAATTCTCATCTTTACTTTCTCCTTCCAAGGCTTGTTGCTTCTTTGGTGTCTTGATAATCTTCCTTTAGCATATAGAGATATTTTTCTTCTCACACATATATAAGACCAGATCCTTGCCTCTGTTATAGGCACTTTTTGACCACTGAGGAAAGCAAATCAAAATGGAAGGGCAACATGGCAAAAGTGATTGTGTGTTGTCATGGAAGTATTGCTTAGGGATGTGAACAATTAATTGTTTAAACAGTAAGCCTGGTAACCAGCTATAGCTTACCACTTATCATTCAGCATGGGGTGGAGTGCAGTCTGACAGGGAGGGTGGGGAAGGGAAGCTGTACAGTGCCCCAGCAGGAACCAGAAAGCAGCAGAGCAGGTGGGAGGGAGGAAGAGAGGGAGGAGTGGGGGCAGGGGGGACGGGGGACAACACAACTAGTACCTATAGCTAGGCTCTGCAGACCCTGGTACAACCATTTGCAGCCTCCCCACTGCCTGCCACAAGCAACTCAGGCTCCAGGCAGGCCCCTGCTGCCTGCCACAGAGCTTGGGCTGCTTATGGCAGGCAGCAGGGAGGCTGCAAGCAGCTGTGCTAGGGTTTGTGGAGCCTACCTGTAAGTACTAGTCCCTGCTGCCCTCCTTGTTCCTCCCTCCCTCCCTCCTGCCTGCTCTGGGGTTGCTATACTGATTCATCGTTTAACCATTGTATTGACAATAAATTAAATGGGGGGGTTGGTTTAATCAGTATTTATATCCCTATTGGCTTCCTCCTATTGTATAGTAGGACGCAATAGAGGGACTATAATGGAATGAAGGAATTGCATGCGTCTGAAAAAAGGACACATTCCTAGGACCTAGGTATTCTGTATGTGGTGCATCCTGGGTGTGTCTACATGTGTGCTTTAATGCACATTAGCCTATTTTAATGAGCATTAAAGCGTCACAAAAATACTTTACCTCTTTAGCTAATGCACATCCAAATAAGCTAATGTGCATTTTTCTAGTACCTCGCAATGGAGGTACTAGATTTAATGTGCGTTATCTAAAGTGCATTAACTGAACATGTAGATGGGCCCACTTGTATATCTTGTGGAGCGGTGGTAAGGAACATCCATTCTACTCCCACCCACTCTAATAAGGCAGGTCAGGCAGACTATTTTGTTGAACTTAGGTACTGGTGGGGAAGTTCCAGTTATGGGTTTCCATTTCTCCCAGGCAAGGGAAGGAAACAGGAGGGAGCAGGCCCTCTTTCTCCTGGAGGGGCAGGGTAACTAAAAAAGGGGACAAATTTGTTCATGGCAAGTGCTGGGGGGCTTCTATCTTGGCTAATTAGGTGTCACTCATTCCAGGCCTTCCCATCAGTAGGTGGAGCAAGCACTTTAAACTCCCAAGTAGATAAGTGGTCCATGTCATCCTATTTCATATTCTACTTAGTAAGTCCTCATTTGCCAACCGGTGAAGATGAAGGGAGATGAGCTTCCTTAGTATTAGGAAAGGTAGAAAAGAACCATTATTCTTCTGTTTTCAGTGGGAATGAAGAGCTGCCTGCCTCCTGCACTCCCTCTTAGTTGAACCTCTGCACATATTTAGCTGCTTGGGCAGATGCTAAAGCATATGCACCTGAAAAGTTACTAGCAAAGCACAAAGGGACAGGACCAAGGAACATGTTTCCTGCTTGAGTTGTTGTCCTTTGTTCAATCTTTT